ATCCTAGCAAAACAGAAGGCTCATGTGGAAGAAACAAGTTAGGTTCCTACTTTTAAAAACAGATTAATTTCTTTCTAGTCTCTTTTACTCAGCCCAAGAACACACCCCAGAGAAAGATGTGCACATTTACGGCAATGCTTTGGAATTGATTGTAAGCATCCTGACCACTAACGTTCAGTAACGTGTTCTCTCACTTTGTTTACATTGACTTGTGCCACACAGCCCTAGTATCCCACCTGGAGCTCTTTGCTGTGAAAGCACAGAAGAATCCAGCATTTAATAATCAACCCTAAAACCAGGAAACCAGGAATACACATTACTTCCCATGGCTCAACACAAGTAGATTTAAAAAGTGGCAGACTTCCCATGCTAATTGGTACGATCTGAGAATGTAAGATACTTGTTAAGTTTGCTTCCCATCACAAACCAGCAACTCATTTGCCTTTCACGTGTCATAGTCCATTGGCAGTCGATTGCAAAACTATTTTTGACAGCTGTTCGACACTTAACAGAGGCAAGAGTTTGGGGTGGTTTTTTTGCTTTTGTTTTAAAGAAGTGCCCACAGTTAAGCCATATGAAAATACAAAACCTCAGTGCACTCGATTGACAAAGAATCAAGATGGCTAATGGTAACTCACAACATTTCCCAGTGCACTAGCTCCAAAATACATAAGGCCCATCAACACTCAGTAGTATTCCTCAGATTTAAGACAGCTGGTGTCACAGTAGGCTATTATTTCAATATTTAGGTACTTTGAGGTATCTTGGTAGAATAACTGTTTACTTTGTTTCCACTGCACCTGACAAATACAACAAATCATAATAGATCTAGGCTTTGATTTTAGCTTTCGTAAGCAGTCTGCAGGGAGCTTGCCAATCATTTACTACATTACAAGAAAATTCTAAGAGATTACATGTAAGAAGATGAACATTTTAGAAAGTAAATGGGAATAGATTTGTGACATCAAGCGGGACCCAAAGAAGAAAGCTTCACTGTGGACTTACATATCTCAAGCCCTAGTCTTCACAAAACTAAGCCTATTCAGGGTAAAATCTTGTGAGCCCTTTCTTTTTACTATTATTTTAGTCACACCTGTACATTAGCAAATAGATATTAATAAATACTTTCAAGCACCCTCTAAAGGTTTCGGGACTGCTTCGCTCAGTGCAGGAAGCCCAGCTCTGGGCACCAGATGCTTTGAATTGTTTGTCGCTCTGCAACTGGAAGGACCAAGCCAGCCAGCCTAGATAGTCCCTTCCTAGAAGTAAGAAAACACCAACACGCTGTCTGGATGATGGCCCAGCCAATTCTAGCAGGGCAGGACCCAGGCAGAACAAACCACCCACTCAAGATCTTTTTCCAGATTTCCCCTACTGTCTTACACTGGGGTTTATCACACATACACCAGGTTACTGGAATACAGACTCAGTGACAACATTAGCTGCCTCCTTGACTAGGCAGAACTCTTATGACTAACTTGCCTCATCTGCAGCATTCATTCTGGAAGCCCTGCAAGATTTTATGGTGAGAGGAAAGAAGCTAACAAGATGTACAAAGCATAGTGGTTTATATCTTGTTCCTGCTACTACTGTAGTCAGCCACCTGAATAAACTCAGGCCACCAGAGGAACAATTAGCACCAGGCTGAGCTGATGCCCTTTTCACCCTTCATAGATTAGCAATGCAGAAAAACCTCCACCAGGTTGCAGGATGAATCCAGATTACTAAAACAAGGAGGAATATTGTCTAAGCATGGTATCTGCAGCACAACTGATCAAAAGGCATTACAGCAACAACAGTACCATTCTCCTGCAACGCCCAGTGAGATGTTTTTCTACATGTACATTCTGCTTTCATCTTCTTAAGTGAGTTACTGACAGCTCTGAACAGATCCTGGAAAATCTGCTGGGCTCTGTTATTAAAGCCTGTAGAAGGTTTCCATGAGGTTCTTCAGCAGGGAGGCATACTCTACTGTTCTGCCTCCATACCCAGCTTCTGCTTTTTTAAACCACCTTGGAGCTGAAACAGCCTTCTCTACAGAGACTGAAACCGCAGGTAAATGACCATCACTGATCTATATAGGAGAGACTAACAAAATGCAAAGAAACAAGAATCAGTTACATGTGGGATGCAGATTAAAAAGGAAAACACTAAACTGAAATGGAATTCCTTTCTTTTTTTTCCAAATCCTTCATGAACCACTGCTCCCAGCTGAATTCTTAATGGTTTCTTATCCCAAAGGCCCTCCCACTCCAGCGCTGTTCCAGCACTGCGGATGGAAAAGCATTTGGAATAACTCCAAACCCCACACCAGTTGCTTCAATTAAAAAAGCAAATGCGACCACAGAAATACCTCTTCTTTTGTTGGGTCTAAAGCACAGGGTTAAGGCAGCCCAGGTAAGTATTCAAATACTGAAAAATCCCACTTGAGGACATAATTTACACAATCTGTTTACCAAGACAGGGCTCTGGAAAGAGAAGCACAAAGCTATGCTAGGCTTGCCAGAGCAAAGTGTAAACTGAAATCCTTTAACACAGATCACATCTAAAAATGAACTAACATTTCCACTCGGCAGAATTTTTACTATTGACTCCTTTGAGACTTCAACAATTTAGCACAAGATAGGCCCAAGACAAAAGAGAAACTTTTCTACAAATATGTCCAATTTTGGCTTTTATAATGCCACGTGTCAAAGTTGTTTACACTTTTCCATAGTATCAAAGTACACTCAATTCAAGACCATGAGTTAGAGTAAGCCCCAAAATAGCTACTGTACTGAAACTACTCGCTGTCTTTAACAGACCTGAACTCTCCTATTTTTTCTATCAAGCTCATCTTACATCTTTCTTTGCTAGGTTAACCACAGCTCTGTGAACAGATTTCTCTACAATTCAGAGACTGCTTAAGTCTTCTTCATCTAATTAAACAAACTATGTGGTATAATTACATCTGTCTTGCTACCTAGTGACCCTCTGCTGATATGGAAAAGCTGCATTTGCCCTCAGTCATTAAATCCAATTATGAATTTCATTAGTGACTTACTGTAGCTCCAAACTTTCTGATTTAGTATTTTCAAACAGAAGCCTGAAATTTCATAGTACTTTGAGACGGCCCTCATTCCCATTTTGAGGATCCATGGCACAGTGCAGTTCAGGAATCAAATCAATGATGACAGTATATCAAACCATCTCCAAAAAGAACTAAAATAAACTTGCCACTGGAAGTAGATTTCCTATTTATAGGTACTGTGAACTAGCTGACAGCCTGCTGCAGGATAAAATCATTCACTAACTTTACACACATGTTGGAAAAGTAAAAATTTGACTTTATTAGCTCAATACATACCAAACAAGTCCATTAAAGGTCTCATGAAATTACTGACATCCCTCAAAGCCATTTGTACTAAGCTCTATCATTGCCAGTAGGTTAAGACCTATTCCAGTGTTACTTCAAATTAACACCAATAAAGCAACTTGTCCCATTTGCCTTTCCCAGACATGAAGTACAGCATTCCACTTGGCTGTAATACCCCTACTTCAACACTTAACACCTCTAGCTCCTTTACCAAGTCTTAAATTCAGCCTGTTCCACACCTGACACTTTAAAGCCTAAAAACCAAAGATGAGCATCTTGACAGGCCAATCAGGCAACATTTTTGTTAGTAAAAAGGAAAACTACTAAAAATACATAGAAGAGTATTTGAGGAAGTGTGGTTCGGTTTTGTAGGGAGTAGCTTCAAATCTACCAACTTCTACAAAGAATCAACAAATGTGGATTAAGTGGCCTAATTCACATGCAACAGATTTTTCCAAAATTACACAAACTCTTAAACTAAAGGGGAAAGGACTGGCTAAGGATAAGTAGCAGGTAGTGAATTTTCAGAGTGATGGAGGCTATCATAAATTATTGTAATACCTGTTATGTTCAACATTGATAAAGTTCTTTATCATCCTGGCATTGCTGCTTTGCTAATGTAAAGTTATTGAAGAAGTCAAAAGTCAGTCAAATCTGATTACAAAAACCAAAAGTGTCTTGCAGTACTGAAATTTCACCTATTATTTCACTGCCCATTTGTTCTCCATGCAGGCACTGCACTAACTAGAGGAGAAAACCCTGAATAAGGAGATGCAATGATGCCCACCAACCTAGTTACCACTGTCGATAAAAGATACTCAAGTCATTGTCATCACTACACCAAGAACAGGGCAGTGCTTGAGGTATGTTGGAACAGTGCCAATCTTAGAAAGGATCAGGAACACACAGAAAATAATCTGCTGTCTTTACGAGCCATGCTATGCCCACTGCATGACTAGTAAGAGTGGTAAGAAGCAGCCCATGTGGAAAAAAAAAAGGATATTTGTGGATTGGAAACCATGATAAAGCGCAATGAGGATGAAAAAGATTTGAAATAGCTTGGATTCCAAAGAAGTACAAGAAGGTGTGGCTGGGTACACAGCACTCAAGGCAAGTTATGAGTTAATGCCATATCCAAAGCTAAAAGCCAACTTTAATTTTACAGCAGATATCTTAAAATTATGAACTTGTTAAAACTGGACAGAGAAGAGTCAAACTTACTATACTTCACATAGATTTGAGATAGACACAGATTATCAGTGTCCACATTGCTCCTCTTCTGTTACCACTTAAGTGCAAGAGGTTAGTAATCCTTTAATCATGTCTAACTTCCATTGCTGCAAGCAGGGTTGCCCTTGTGTACTACAAATAACTGCAGAGTTGCACAATACATATACAGACGGGGAAATTTTCACTTAATTACTTTACACCTTTATATATTTTAAGACATCTGAAGGGGTTTTTTATATATAACCGTAGTTGCTCCACACAAAGCTGTTCAAAATATCTGTGTAGGCATAATGTATTGAACTAATCTTTAACTATACCTATCCAAACTGGACCACTAAGAATTCATTTCAAAGCTAGCCAAACCAGAACTGTACTCTAAGGAAAATTAAAAAAAAAAAAAATCAAGTACACAAGGTCAGTGTAAACATGTTCTTTAATATCACTGAAGATAAATTTAGAAATCCAAGCCTTCGGTGGGTTTCAAATAAATAAATCATTCTGCGTAAGTGTTTACATATAAAGGGAGCTCTCAAAGCAGCAGTGCACGGTTTATAGTTCCTCCCTGCTAACACATTCCCAGCAAGAGAATGTACAGTAGGTAGTGCACACCAGAAAAAACAATCACAACATACAGCACACACTTGCCACCTTCGATGAAACCACAGAATATGATGTTGAAAAAAAGGGGGAGAAGCAAATGAAGGCATGCACTGCCCTTTAAAGCACCACTATTTTCCCATCGCCTATTTACCAGCATAATACTAATAAGAAGCCTGGGAACAACTCATCTTTTCTGCTTCTAAATTCCACTCTCAACTCTGAGATTAACAACAGCAGTGCTCTGATACAGAAAACGTGTTTCTCAAACTGACACTGCAGCATAACATAGCATCACCATCCCAGTCGGTCTCTACTTGGGGACACCTACTCTAATTTTTAAATTCTTCTCCAATAACTACAGAGGTGATCCAGAAAGTTTAAGACAGGTAAGAGTTGTTTCTTGTAGACCCTGGCCCAGTGTACTGAAAAGAACCAAGGCATGACAGGCCTCAGGAAGGTGTATGGTTACCCAGCAAAATATATGGTGTTCTACTTCACTCAAAACCTTCCAAAAGGAAAAATTCTTCCTCAAAGGGAAGATTTGCCTTTAAATGACTCCAATTATTCTGCTGCAAAAATATGCCCAATGTGAAATGTCTCATATCAAAACAAGATTTAACAATCCAGAAAGACCAAAAAGAAAAAAGATCAATTATAAATAGGCCACAAATACTTGCAAAAGTGTTACTGTAAATTTTTTTTTTTTTCTGTAAGTTACTCTTTCATCAAAAGATTTTTCTCTCTGCAGACAGGGCTAGGGCAGCCTTCTACTCTTTCTACTTTAGTTCAACATGCCACTGACCTGTGATAAGCACTGCAGTCCTCACCACAGAAGCACATAACCTACTAGCATAATTTCTTCAACACAGTTAACCTGCTTCATTACTCTTTCTTCTCCATTTTTATTATATCTGAAAAAAGTTCTGCCTCTCTGCTATGAGTCAAAAAACTGACTAAGTAATACTGCTGTGTACCTACTGAATAAATATTACCAGAGTTAAAAGGATTGTTTCGATTGCTAGCTTGGCTTTGGCAAAACACAAATTGGGCCAACATACACTGTATACTTCACACATTTGAGTAGGGGACACTGTAATGTTTAACAGATTCAAAATAAAATAAATCTTAGATTTCTAAAACTGTCAGTACACAGGGTTCCCAAGTTGTTCTGAATATAGGAGCAGGGCAATCAATTTTCAAGGAAAGCCACATAGTCAGTCAATCTGGCCAACTGCTGCTCGTTTGGAATTGGTGGAACAGGAGCAGGTTCTACAAAGATAAAACAAATGCATTATTAATGAAATCAAGAAAGCAAATCCATCCACAATACCATCCATCACACAGTACGGAAAAAATCAGCCTGCAGAACAGCCTTACAGGGGCACATCTTAACTGCACCGCTCATCTACGCAGCTTGAGCTGACATTACTTTTCTGGTATCTATCTGCAAAACCAAGTAGTCCAAGAGTTACTAACGAAGACAGCTGTAACAAGTTCCAGTTGTCAGCAGTCTCCAGATTTTTTTTTTTTTTTGCATATACTGGAATCTGAATAATGAAAACTGACAGTACTTCCACTTGACAGAAGTGCTCCTCAAGCTCTTCAGCTGCTCCTTTCCTTACAAGTTGCCATACTAAAGATATCAAATAAACCTACTGGGTTATCTGACTAACAAAACACAGCAAAGTACTGCATGACTTGCTGGAGAACGCAGTGCACATGCAGATCCTTATAGAAATCCCAGCTAGCCTGCAATTACAGTTTACAGTTTAGCAATAGGTTGGAAGACAAGCAACTAAAGCCAGGGAGGTAAGTTAAGAATTAAAAATCAGAAATAAAAAAAATAGCAGGAAAATTTGCATTGACTCTTTCTGAAGAGTTAACAGACTAGCATTCAGGATACAGTTAAAGTAGAAATACTGCTTGGGGCTGGAAGTATGCAATAGTAGAGGCTGACAATCAAAAGAATGTTTTCAAAAAGCATGACCCCAGCTCCTGGAATTGGCTTGGAATTAAGCCTGTAGATTTAGGATACTTTTGGTAACTGCTAGACACAGCAAGGCACCAATCCAGATCTGCTGTCACTATCTTGTGAATGTATACCACCTCAACCTGTAGCTGAGCTCTGAAGAAAACCAGAACATTGCTTTCTTCTGCAGGAAAGACTTCAGAAGTCCCACACCACACAAAAGCAATGAAAAGTACTCAGAATTGCTTTGTAAAGCAATTGCCTCTAAATTCGAAGATTTAGCTGGAATAGTTTTAGTTTACAGGGGCTGTCTACACCTGGAATCTGCTCCCTACATCAGCTATTGAAGCAGGAATCTCAGGCACTTCTTAAAATGTGAGGAAAATAAAACAGGGGGAAACATGTTTATATAGCACTTGATTGGGGTGGGTTTTTTTGAGGGGGGAATGATAACATTCACTTCCCTAGGACCCAATTCCCCATTTTGTGGTGCTGGTGAGACTGTGTTTATATGTATATCTAAACTTGCATGATTAATAAGTAGATTATATATAAACAGAAAGTACCTGATGAAGGAATAAATCTGTTAAAGGAAGCTTCCAGCACACCTGAAGAAAAACACATAGAAGTTAGGCCAGTGGACCGGTTTTGAATATTTCTTATACAGCAAGCCAAAACTGGATGAAAAGGTAATTAAAGTTAAACCTCTTAATTTATCACATTTTCCTTCATAACTAAAAAGCAGAATTCCCAAGGCTTAGCTGGTTAGACATGCAGCTTCAAAACAGATTATAACCCCCTGCCTTTCTTTTGCCTCAACAGTAGTTCCTGCACTCGCTTTTGGAAACGAACCACACGTATAGAGTTCCCAGTACTTGTAAGCACTACATATTTTGCAACGAGCTCAAAAAAATCTGATCCCATATAAAAGCTCAGGACTCTGGTTCGTTATGTGCCCCAAGGGATAAGTTTCAACACCTTGACTTGCACACATTCATTCTAGTGTTCTGGGCTCTGAACATCTAAAAATTCTGCACATACAAACAGTATATTTTCTTAGCCTAATAGATGTTGCCCTTATAGCTATGTTATAATTTGGCTCCTTCTTATAAAGCTGAACTATGCAGCTTAAGAGCAGTCATTTCATCCTGCCTTCACAGCTTAACATTTATTTTTGCCTCAGCCAGCTATAGATACTGCTTTAGCAAAAAAAAAGCCAAGTATTTCTGCAGGCTCAGCTTTGCAGGAACAGTTATTCTGTTATCAGCACCATAACAATAAAGAAAAGATCCAGTAGAATAAATTTTAAAAAGGAAAGGAAATTATACCAACAACTGGAGTTCCTCGGAACACAAAGATCCACTATATCCCTGACCAAAGAAATTCTACTTCTCCTGAAAAAAATTCTCAGAATTGAAATGGTGTATTTTTTACTCATCTTTATTAGATTAAGATAAGTCATTTGAGGTCATCCAACTTATGTTCCACTCAGAGCCAGCAGCAGAGGAGGAACTGAAGAAATCACAGCATATCCTGTTTGCTTTTGTTTAAAAAAGTTAATCTGAGTATGTAGTTTAATCCAAACTACTTGTAACCCCAAACCAAACCCACTACTTTGTACTTCCTACATTTTATAAACATTCCATGTTTATAAATGGCATAAGCCCTCCTATATCTAAAAGAATATTGTGCAAAATTTTAATTAAAAACTAACACCTAATTACTAGAAAATTCCAGACTCAATGTCTAATGAAATAACAGCTCCACCTACCTGGCTTTTTAGGCATTACCATACGAGTTGAAAAGTCTGCTTGCCAGCCCTGTTCTAATACACCTGAAAAGGCATTTTTACATTTGTAAGAACAAATATTTTATATGATTGCTAGAAATTAAAAATAATCGTGCACATTAAGACCAGCAGAAAAGTACCTCAGTTCACTGCCTATATGCTGTATTCCTCATAAAAATGCTTATATTTAGACATGTAGTTTAACAAATAACATCATGAAAGTAATACTACATGGAACTAGCTTACCTTACTACCTTCAGTCTTCCCTCACCACTGAATTGCTTTCATATTTTCACATATAGAAGGGGAGGATAACCAAGAGCAACTAGTGGCTAATAATAAAAAAATACACACTTATCCAGAACCAAGACTTTTTTCTCTATTCACTGTCCCATCACTTCTCTTTGTAAGTCTTAGAATTCATATAAATGATTACCATCACTTACAGGTCTCTGTTCTCAATCATCTGTAGAAAAACTACTCAGTGAATAAACACAAAGTACCTTTCACAGCTTCTTCTACTGGAAGACCGACAAAGGCTGCAAAGTCATCCGCAACTATTGAGGTATATGCCTGAGAAACCAGTCCAAAGGCTCGTCTCCTAGTTGCATCTAAGGAGAGATAAACACTGTCAGCAGACTAATCTCCATCACTAGGAAATCTGAGTATAAATTTTTCCAATTCCAATACATTTGGAAAACCACTACCACCCTTAAGGCTAGCACTTTAGAAGTTGCTTCCCTTCCCACAATTCACCAAAGTTCCACAGTCAGCAGCCAGAGACAAAAGCCTGAACTATGCCAGGACAAAACTCCTCAGAAACCACATTTAACTTCTACATGCAGTTTGCAGTATCTTGGGTACTACCACCAGTATGTAAACCAGTTTAGGAAACTCTTTTCTAGTGGCATTCTCCATTTGCAATAAGCTTGTGTGTCAAATAGGTCAGAATCAGAAAAAATGAAAAACCAATTAAATTATTTGGGCCTTTTTCACCATATCTGCCTCGATATCAAGGTATCTAAAAAAATCAGTTGCTTCTAAAGGTACAGAAAATCTGTTACTGCAAAATACTTTGGATAGCTTTTTAGCAGTCTCTACTGCCCTCTAGTAGCAAGACTTCACATGTAACCATTACACAGTCTATAAAACATTTGTCTAAAACCACATTTAAAAGAAACCTTTCTGAAAGTGTCACAAGGTTCTAAAGCATCAAGCCAAGTTGCCTTGATTACTGGTTAAAAGTCTGATAAAACTGGATAACTAATGGTCTGGTTTGCTATTACAGAACAAAACATATGGTGTGTGAAATTCCAATATGAAAGAATATACAATTGTAATAAAAAGAATTTAGTTTATTTTTACATGGTTTTGTAATGAGCTTTATCTACACCTGATACCTAAAATCCTTTATGTAAAACCTACAAAAACTTGGTAACAATCTTCTTGACCACTCCTGGTTTTTCATAATATGTAATTTGTCTACTTGCCTGTTTGTGTTTGAGCGCACAGAAACAATTTAAGGCAACTTGCAATTCCATGCTACCTACAGAAGTTCAGTTTGTACCTCTAAGTGCTTCCATGATTGGTTGAATAGTCTCAGACCACTGATGTGCACTGATTGTTGTATAGATTCCTGGAAAGTCTCTCTGCCAGATTCTTTGTCCTACTGACCAAACTGCACCAAGTTCAGCATTTGCCTGTTGTGACAAAAAACAGCAAACAGTTAATCCAGAACAGTGTATTCTCTACAGCAACCATACTTTATAAACCCACTTCCATTCCTTTCCCTTCCCCATTGCACGAGTATATCACACCACCTGTACAGATGAACAGACAAGCATTAGGAAATCTTGGTCTAGCAGGTACCACTGCTGCAAGATCCCTGACCCATCCTCTGCCAGAACTTTATCACCCACGTAAGCAAAGTCTGCTCATGTCAGTTATCCTGATCCAGGCTGACACATCAGCTAAAACAATCCTAGAGAATAATCTATGCTCAGGCTACTAAGTGGAGTTGCCTAAAGAGAATCACAGCTTATTTCCTGCTAAGAGAGATGCTTGCCTCTTCAGTAGAGGCTTTAAAAAGTGCAGAGGCTGTTTGCACAGTGAAAGCAATTTTCAACTTGAAAGTCTTGCAACCTTGACAATAGGTGACACAATATGGTGCCACACTCACTACAACTGCTCTCCCACTCCCAGTTTTAAAAGGCTACTTTTACTGTTACACACAGTTATTTGGTCAACAAGACTCCAGAACACCCTGTCAGAACAGCAGTCAAGCACTAAACTGGCTAATGAAGTGATATTTTCGATTGTAAGAACAGATTCATTTCTGAAGTTATGACTCACACTAATTACTCGGTTCGTTTAGCAGAAGACTCATCGACACATACACAAGAAAATGCTATGCTTTGAGGCATAACCTCTGCAAAATAACTCATGCAGAGTTTCCCCCACCAAGAATGACACTTCACATGAAATGCAAGTCACATCAAAAAAAGCCAGATTATTCACAGAATATTGCTGTGCAACAAATACAGCAGGTTTCAGAGAAAGACCAAGTAAAATTAGATCCAGATTACTATTGTCTTAACTGACGTCACTACTTTCTTGAAAGAGAAAGGAAATTATTTCAGAACCATCTCGACCATGAGGTTTCTTAATACAAGACTACATAACACGTGTTTCCTTGTAAAATGTACGATCTCCAACTAAAAACCTAACAACTGTAAAGTCTGGAAGCATTTCTTCTAATTTATTCACCTGAATCCCCAAAGTGCATCTTTGATCCAAATGCAGTGCAACACAAGTGCCTGCAGAAGGTTAATCTATTTGAAGAGGCATCTTGTCTGAAGTCACTTTTCACTGCACAAAGTATTCTGCCTCCTCATGTGGAACGTGGCCCCATCCCAGAGTCAAATCCGTTGCTCTCCTCCAGCTGACTGCCCTTTATCATGAGGCTTTCTATTAAAAAGTCTACAGATTTACCAAATGCTATTGCACCAGATTATTTCTGAAGGAAAAGAGGTAATAGATGAACAATAGGAAATCTTAACGACCAATATGCTATTTGCTGGGCAAGCAGTTCAGAGCACAGAACTGAGCCCAAGGCTACTCAAACAGAATCCTTGGCAGGAAAAAAAAGTCATTATTTTCAAGCTTATATAACCTGGTTTAGTAACAAATGGCATTTTATGAAGTACTTACAGATTTGATAGCAGGAGGGATTCTTTTCCAAAGATACCGTGCGTTATTCCTAAAAAAAAAAAAATCAGGTTAAACATACCTCAGTAACCAAATGTTTACTGCAAAGATACACCAAAAGGTTTGTTCAGATGTGATAGTTAACACAGCTCAGTGTTATAAAATATTCTTTCTGTGTCTACTGAAGTAGAAAACCAAAGTTACTCTCAAGTTGGTAACATGACTGTCATAATACAACAAATAGCTCAATAATTGCCTCATGTAACACCAGTTGAGAAAAGGTTTTTCATTTGTCTACCCTAAGCAGCATTCCACACAAGGTAGTTTTGCAGCTTTATTTTTGGAATAGCTGCATCTTTGATGAACACAAGAACAAACAGTAACTTTTCCTAGTGTCATTTGTCACTTAAATCAGTGGTCTCCAAACTTTGATCATGCATTTCTAGCAGGAAACCATTTTTGAGCATGCACCTCCAGCGTATGCATTTGTATTTATAAATTATATACAAGTATTACTGTATTAATATATTTTATACCTTATAAAGCATACAAACATAGGTGCTAAAAAGGATGAAATAAACACCATTTAACACTGTTTTTATCTTACTTGGTAATAATACAAATATACTTTCTTCACGGACCCACACCCCACTTGCCATACCAAAGATTTAGACAGTTTTGTGCATGTTCTTCCCAACCCAGCTTTGTCACATACATTCTGGAGATCTGGACATATTGAAATACTTAGTCATTGAACTTCAGAGCACAGAAGTCAAACTGAAATGGTTACAAATTCTCAGAAAGACTTAAAATGCAAAATAGAGAAAAAGACTCACTGCTTTTTATGACAGCACAATTCGAAAACTCCACAATGCTAAAACTTCAAATCCATTTGAACCAAGGGTATATGCATTAAACCTAGTACTCAGTATCAGTGTCCAGGAAATTTGCCCTGAAAGAATATACATCTACAGTGCAAGAAAACACAAATCTTTGAATCCCCACATCAATGCTTACTTTGGCCTGATACACACGGCAGCGGCACTTATTCTGCCCAAATAAATAACCAGCAATTTCTCAATAAAATGCTAAACAAAGAATCGAGTTCACGCAGGGACATGGTAATAATACATCAGAATGAATTCAAAGGATCACAGCTTCTTGAGGATTTAGCTCATTCAAGCCAATAGTATCCCTCATTTTTTAACATGGACCGTTTAGAGTTATCCTGCTGTAATTTAAACACAAGGAGCAACATGCGATCTTACTCAAAAAAAATGCAGCCTTGTAAAGATATAGATCAACACACTAAAGTGTTCAACACTTTCCAAAGAAGCCAATTTCACTAAGATTGGCTTCAGGAAGGAAGCTCCTGTTTCCCTACAGTTCAATAAGGAGCAGAAGGGGCAAACGAAGAATAATTTTCCTGACAGAGCAAGGGCTTAAAGACACTTAATTTAATGAAGTTTGTTTGTTTTGTTTGTTTGTTTGTTTGTTTTTTAAAAAAACCCACACATCTCTGTCTACACAGACCAATTACTAATTTTCACACAACCAATTACTAATATTTTGGCAACTGCAGCTCAAGCTTGTTGGAGAATGGCTCAGAGACAAGGGTCCTGAGCCCACCGAGCAGTTGTACGATCAGAGCCTGCTCTAGCTGCTGATGCTGAGCCTCACTAGGGTTTGCCTGCAGCTGCTCACAGCTGCTGATACAGGAGGAATGTCAAGGATGCTTCGGCCCTGTGTACCGTGGTGTGTCGAAAGCAGGTTAAGAGGAATTAGAAATAGTGGCATGAGAAACTTAGTGTTCTGAGAAGCTTGTGCTGTTAGCTAACTGCAAGTAGGTGGACCGTGCGAATACGACCTTTAGAGCTTAAGCCAATCAGCTAGTGACTAGTAGGCATAATAATTATCATTGTCTGTGTAAATATATGTACCCTGGACCAATAAAGAGACATGTTGGTTGATGCTCTATCACCCACAATGAACCCATCCCGGCGTGTCGTTCCTCCACGGCTCCGCACAAGCTAATAGTGACAAATCCAGTATCTGAAATTAAAGATTAAGACAAGCCACTTACATGTCATTATGCAAGAGGTACAAAGCTAGAAGTTGGCCATAAACAAGGGGTGTTGCAATTCCTCCAGGGGCCTAAAAAACAAGTACAAATAATTTGGTTACATAGTTTAAGAGCAGTATCTCACAAAACACAGCAGGAAGCCAAGTTTAACGAAAACTGAACACTCTAAGACAACTGATTTTTTTTTTCCCCACGTAATAGGTCTGGACAAATTCTCAGAGTTGCTATGCATCGATATCAGTATCAATGCGGTTAGATCTTATGATGAAGAGTTAACTTGCACATGCTGGAAGTTTTACTTGGAAAACCTAGGTTGTTTTGCTGCATGAAAAAAAGCTTGGTTACCCCTTTCATTACTCTAATGGTCTAGCTTATGCTCATGAGAATGGCCATCGTCTCGCTTTACAGCTCCTCACAAACAGCTGCTTTTAGGCACTCACCATTTCATTTACCTTGAGCTGAACTTCAGTTCAATTCAATTCAGGGCATCCTACCAGGGTAAACCTTCTTTGCTCACTTGAGCTGCCCTTATTAAACATCCAAACTAAGTTTTGACACTTGCCACACTTCAGAATACCTCACAAATCATCCAAGTAGAAAAAATGAATTATAGTGAAGTTTTAAAATTTTGAAAGTCTATAATCATTTAAAAGCTGAACATATTTCCAATAAGATTCTAGCAATTCTAGCAAGGATAGTGCAGCAAGCACTCACAGGAAGCCAATTATGCAGCTACTTGATTTAATTACATGTATGATTTATAGGCTCATCTAAGCCAAAAGCAGGTGATTATCCGTGTCACAGAGCAGATATCATCATCCCTAGGAATTTTTACACTGTTCCCGGGGCTCATTTACATAAAAATACAACAGTTTCTGCAACCATTCCTTGGAATACACCCAGTAAAACAAAGCCAAATCAATTAATACCACCTGGTTGAAGTGTGTAAGTTCACCCTTGGTGTCTCTGCACTGAAAAGAAAATTCATTAGTTTCTCTGCCAGAAGAACAGAAGTGAAAGCAAACTACCACCAAAACAACTAGATTTATAATCTACAGTCTTACTGAAGGAAGCTCTGTGGCTGCATCTATCCTGTAAAAAAAAAAAATTCATCTTACATATCAACTCATGATCTGAAGCACCATGGCTGTCAGCAGATATCACTGTGCCCACAAGAAACTTGATGTGGATGCAGACAAGCACAGGAAGTAACTTTATCAAAGCATTTGGGGACAGTTTGCCAGGGGTGCATCTGTTGCTGTTTACTCCAGGTGACTCTGCTGACAGACACAGCAGAAGCCTTGAGCAGGGCAGGGTCCGAGTTCAGCGGGTACGTAACAGCTCTCGGGGGCTCATAACGGTCCAACACCCCGCGCTCTAAAGTGGTGAAGTGAAGAGGATGCGTTCAGCTTCCTGAGATGGCTGCAGAAGCAAAGCCCAAAGCCTGCCGGGCTCCATCCCTGACCCAACTCTCCCCCCTCACCCCACCGAGGCAGAGAAAGCCACAGCAAGCCAGGTGCAGGAGGATTGCCCAGCAGGAAGGGGCAGGGGAGGGCCACACTCAGCTCTCACAGGGTACAAGGGCACTCTTCTCCTCCTCTCTGCTCACACCGAAAAATCAGAAGCACTGAAGAGCTCGTGGAAGAGGAGAATACAAACTTTTCCCTTGTTTACATCACGGGAGCGGGGTGCGCTTAGCTTCGCGCTCAGAAAAGCGCCGAGAACGGCGCCAGAAAAGAAAGGGTCTATGGATATGAACCGGGAGGAGCTTTTCCGCACTAACACGGTACCACCTGGCCTCGCCAGAGGCCGCAGCCCGGCAGGCGAACAGCGCCCGCAGCCAGGCCTGGGAACGCCTCAAGGAACAGCACTTCAAACCGCAGAGGGGGAGCCTCCAGGGCGAGCTCCCACAGCAAGCGCCTGGCCCAGCGCTCCACCCGCCTTTTTCAGTATCTGCTTTCTCTGAAAACAGCGTTTTCAGGGAAAAAACAAACAAACAAACAAACAAAAAACCCACGGATTTACCGCGACGGGGGCTCCTGTTACCTCAAGCTCCTGCGTCTCGCACTGCTCCAGGAGCTTCCTGAAGCTGAAGGAGCTCTCTGCCATCACCGCCACCGGCATCTTCCTCCCGCGCCGCCGCCGCCCAGACCCGCCACCGCCTCCTCCTCAGGGGCGGCCGCGCCTACACGTCACTTCCGTCGCGGACAGCGCGTATTTCCGCCGCCGGGCCTCCGGCGGGCTAAGACACTCTAGCTTCGCATAGATGCTCTGGAGGACTTGGGGGCGGGGGAGCCAGGGAGGCCTGGCTGGAGAAGGGGCGTGGTCAAAACATGGGGGGGCGTGGCCAAGCGGGACGGGGTCGGGACTACGAGCGGCAGCGCACGTGTCAGCCCCCCATATTTTTAAGGAACGGGGAGCTAATTCCGTTTACACGCCACCACCACCACCACCCCACCCCTCCCCGCCGCCCCCCCCATTATTTCTCAACGTTTGTGCTCAAGGAGCAGATTTATGTTTGCTTGCTTTGCATATATTGCGTATCACGTGATGTGTAAGGTACATGCCCCTGCACACACGGTGTAATACAGCCCCTCTATGTGTACCCGTATCGCCTACAAAATAGCACACACGCCAAAACTGTGCTAAAACGGCACAAAACAGCACATACGCTATTTTACCTGGCCTCGCCCTGCCTTCGGTTCCCATCCCCAGCGAGGTCCCACCTGCGGGGCAGGAACTGGGACACCCCTGTCACCCCAGTCCTGCCCACCTCTCCCCAAAACCAGGCTCAGGAGCCCTCTCCGTGCCCCGGACGGGGTGAGGATACATTTGCTGCACGAATTGCAGCCCCAGTTTGAGGCATGTGAGTCAGTGGAAAACCTCAGGCTTGTCACCCAGATCTTTGAAATGACTGGGGCCACAAAAGGAAACCCACTTTTTTAGGGTAAAATTAACTGGAGGGGCCTTGTTTTCTGCAAACCCTTGCTTTCTGATACAACAAATTTGCTTTCCACCAGCACCCCCCAGCCCCGTATCCCTTGAGCAAAGCCTGACCCCAGCTGCCCCCCTCCCCAGCGCTGTCCCAAACACCATCCCCAAAACCATTTATTCTTCCTCTTCAGCCAGGGAACCCTCTGGATTTACCCCCAGCTGCACTCGCAAGCTGCACCACCTCGGTGCAAAATTCGGGTGCGATGTGTAAGCCTGACTCAGCTGCAGCAGGGTGGCCTGGAGGTCTTCCCTACGCTTTTGGGTTGAAAAAAGGAAAGAATTGCAATGCTTAACCTCTCAGTGCTTCGGCATAGGGGAAGGCTGGCGTTAAACTTGTCCCCTTTGCTGGGGAGTCTCCACTCTCTGGGAGAAGTCTTGGCTATGGAAAAATAAAAATAACGTGTGTTTGTATTTGCTTTGGGATTTGCCTGGAGGGAGAGGGCTCCAGGCGATGGCACTGCTGCTCCGCCGGCTCAGGCTCTGCTTTTCCCAACAACCGGCCTCGCATCCCGCTCCCATCCCCGCCGGCCGCATCGATCCCGACGGCTCTTTGTTGCCTCCAGCTCCACGCCGGCGTCGCTTTGACGGTCGGACATCTGAGAGGAACATCGTCCTCACCTTTTGCTCCCATGCCCAATTATCCTGTGCTTTTCAGGAGAGGACAGCAGGGAGAAAAGGCAGGGAGAAAAGCGGGCGGCAGCTTGTGGTGGTGCCGGTGGGAGACGTTCCCAATGCACCGGTGGGGTTGGGGTCAGGGCATCCTGGATTGCCACTGCAGAGCATGTTGTTTTGAGAAGGCTTCATCTCCTCATGGGATGTCATGGGGGGGTTGCAGTCCTCCATCCCAGTGCGACCCTCCTTCCCAGTGCTGGGTGCAAAGGAACCAACTGGTCCCTGGCATCACTGGCCACGCTGGGCCTGGGGGGAACCACAGCCTCTGTGCACGCTCCTTCTCTCTGCGGTGCAATCATTTCATTTTGGTAAAAAAAAAACAAAACAAAACAAAACAAACAAACAAAACAAAACAAACAAACAAAACAAAACCAAACCCAAAACAACCAACCAACCAACCAAAAAAAAAAAAACCAAAACAAAAAAAACAGTAAAAATGGAGCAGATGAGAGGTTTCCGCGAGAGGGCACTAGCTGCAAGAGAAACTACCTAAAAAGCCCAAGGAAATGAGTGGGGTTGTGGCTGCCTCCAAACATCCCGCTGTCCCTTCCATGTGAGAAACTCTTTCCATTTTGGGGCAGTTAGGCTTCTTTTTATATTTCTTTTTGCAGGATTTCGTTATGCTTTTTGGACAAGAAAGGATGCGTTGCTTTCCAGTTTGGTTCGCTGAGCCTCCCAAAGCCACCAGGACCTCTCTGGAAGCGATGCCTCGGCACAGGGGCAGCCAGAAAAGCTGTTTCCTCTCTCTTTTTTTTTTTATTCTCCCCTCCATCCCTCCCTGCTCGCCATTCTTTAACACCCGAGGGGACACCACCCTGCGAGCCCCAGGGTGCTGTGCTCACCATGCTCCATGCACACCTCAGCTCAGCCAGCACGATGCACCAAGCTGAGCCACACGCTTCAGCCACTGAGGTGGGATGCACTTCTCCATGGGGGTCTCCTACCAAGCTGAAAAACCCCACTACTGATGGAAACTCGCTCAGTGCCACCAACTTCAGTGCCCTGCATTGCCTTACCGTGGTATTTTATTTCCTCCGTGTCCATGAACTGCAAAACCCTGGGGTTGCATGAGCTGGGGATGCTGCCAAAGCAGCTCAGCAGAGACTTCAGACCCCTTCCTTGCCCCATAAGCAAAGAGGGAACCAAGCATCACGGCTGGGAGCTCAACCCTTCGAGCAAGATGCTCTAAGGGCCTCTCTTGCCTTACTGTCTTGAGCAAGAGCGATTTCCACACCATCACTAACAGAGTTTTGCTCAAGTCAGGGGCAGAGGCTGGTTGCAGAAGGCTTTAACTGGCGTCTCAGCAGTGGGCCAGGAGATGCCGTCTGCCAGGGATGTCCAAAGCACCCAAATATTTGCTTCAGGAGGGGCTGGGGCTAGTTAATAAGAGAGCACGGCCCCAGATCCCCAGGCAGTGCAAGGTGAGGTGGCACAGCCGTACCTGGAGAGGTGTCACCAGTGGGTTGGTTTCAGCATTAGGAGCTAATTTCATTAAGACAAATTTCACCGTGGAGGTTTGCGTTTTGGTCATGGGCTGAGACGCCTGAGCGCATTTTAATTCTGACAAATTAAAAGAGCAAAGACTTAACTTACAAAAACCCCAGCCCTTTGTAAACAAGGAAACTCCTCGATACCTGGGTGAACCGTGGCTGCTTGTTCCCACACAGTCACCACCTCCCCATCCCAACCCAAAGATGACGCGGAGCCTCTCCATCCATCCCACTTGCAGACTCCTTTGGGTGGATTTGCAAAGCTCGGAGCACATCAGGCTTCAGGACCAGAAAGTGTATATAAAAACACTATGCCAGCACCCCGTCATCATTGCATCACCCCCTTCTGAGTAATTTTCCTGCAGATAAGAGTACAGCCCTTCACAAGCAGAAATCATCAAGCCACATGGCTCAGGCTGGTCTCCCACTGCCCGGCTGGTGCTGTTTCTATGACATGGAGAACAGCTTCTGAAGAAGTGAAAAGTTTCTTGAAAAATGGTGAATTCAGACCAAGTCTGCCCTTTTGCATGCACATGCTGCATCCTCCCTCTCTCTTTTTCCCCCTTTCCAAAGCTGTTCAAGACTGTGATAACATTTTCAGGGAGGAAACGTGCTAGAAGGGAATATGCTTCTTTTTTCATGCTTTACTCTTTTTGCATGACCAAAATAAAATACAGCAGATCTGTTGTATATCCAGGATTATTACAAATCTGGGAGGTTTGGATGCTGTTCCTGGGGTTTTCCAGAGCTGGTGCAGGATGAACTTGTCCCCTGTACAGTGGCACCATCCAGCACCTCTGGACAGTGACTGAGACTGGCTGAGCTAGCATTGCAGCAAATCATGTGGTCATTTATTTTATTCAGGAGCTTCTCTCCAATTCAGGCACCAAAAGAAGAGGCCAGACTTGGAAAACAGCTGAGCACATTGGAAAATCTGTCCCACTGGCAAAGCCAACCACGTCAAATGAATGGGAAAACTTCTTGACTTGAAAGGATTCTGATTTTTCTTTGCCCCACAGGCTTGAAAAGCACTTTAAGATGTTGCTGTCAGCTGTTGAAGAAGTGTAAAGTAAATTTAATGTGATTTTTATTCAGCTCCCGGCGGCGATGGCATGAAAATCTCAGCAACTTGTTTGTGCCTTGTATGAATTTTAATGCGGCGACATAAATGGATGCCAGTTCTGCCTTCTTGGACAGTCCCAGTGAGCCATCGGTTGTTTTCAGAGTAATACCAAGGTATTTCCAAGAAAGATTAGCAGAGATGTTGTGACAAGGCTTTATTTTCCCAGTCATTTCCATGTGCTGCCTGTGATCTGGAGGCAGCCGCTGGAAAGATGATTACAAGAGGTTTCCCTTCCTCGTCTGCTTCAAAAGCTTTGCAGGGGAACAAAAGAATCATGATGGGGAACATAAGATGTAACACAGTGATATGGAACAATAGGAAAGTTAATTTAATGTGAAAGTTAAAGAAAACGGCAGTAAAGGGTCAAGTTGAACCTCTCCACGCCCTTCCCAATCCCCTCAGCACTCTGATTTATATTAGCTCTGCCTGATCTGAGCAAAAGCTGTATCTAAATACATTATTTCCTTCCATGACATAAAAGCTCATTTTACACCAGCCATCAAAGGGGACAAACACCTCGTTTGTAGGAGTTGCACCCAGCAGAAAGGAAACAGCAGCGGATGGGAAATTATAATTTCTTTTTCCCAAACTTTTTTTTTTTTATCAGTTTGCTTTTGATGGGGGCGTTGGTTTGAACTCCAATAAACACGAAGCTCTTGGGGATATTAATTTTTTTTTTTTTTTTTTGCCTTCCTCATCCTTGTTTTATCAGCTCAACCCTGAGGTCTCGGTTATGCTGTTTTTACTAGAGCATGGTAATAAAATTAAAGAAAAATCCCTAAATCAGGGAGTCTGGGGAGCTTGGAGGATGCGTAGGAGACCACAGAGGCCACAGCAAAGTGACTGGTGTGGTATGAGGTGCTGAGGGGTGTCCACCCATCTGTCCTTGCCCATTGTGCTGTGTGTCCTTCTGCTG